AAGAACTAAAAAGTCGTCTAATTTTGCAGTTTCACAGCTATTTACCACTAATTTATTTCCTTTACGTCAAAAAACAACCAATAAATTTCCTCATTATGTTTAGTAAATTGTACTAAATTGTATTTAATGTTGATTATGAAAAGATTGGTGCTGACTTGAAGAAAAATGTACTGTTTAAGAAAAGTCGACAAGGAATACTGGAATTTCATCCAGAGCACGTTTCATTGCTGCATCAGATCATCATCCGAAGAGCCTGGATTGGCCTTTGTCTTCATTTAAGCGCCATTTGGAAGTTCTCAAAGGGTTTTGCATCATCTTTCGTCAGATCGATGGAGTCCTGGAAAATAAAAAGAAAAGAAACTCTTCGCTCAAGAGGGCGCTGATTCATCTTTACTCTCAGCTTAATGTGACGTGATGGCGAGATTGGTGGGCTTAATGATTTTTCTTCAAGTCCAGGATCCCTTGAGAAGCGAAGTCTGAGTTTTGTTCGGTTAAAAATTAAAATATATATTTATACATATATACATACATGCATACATATATATATGAAAAGTTCTGTTTGACGAGCGCTTAGGCGCGAAACTCTGAGTCACATAGAATCGATGCGTCCTCTTTAATTCTTTAACTTACGTATACTTAGCTCTGCTACCACAGCATTGAGCACTTTATGCCAAGGTAGACTCTAACCCCACATTCATTTATATATATATATAATTGAAGCTCAATAAGTCGCGCAGTTTAAGTGATAGTCTTTTTTTTCCGGTGATTGATTTTTTAGTCGATATAACTTGATTCTATGCTGCATCTAACCTGTTTTGAACCAGGACTGTCTGGTTTCTCGTAAGTCTGATCACACGTCCCAATGCTTCCTGGGATCTGTTGGTGATCTGTCACAGGGTTCCCATTGTCTATGACACTTTCGTCCTCCATGCAGTGACCATGATTACGATGACCTTCTAAATCTTCTATTAAAGTCTCGTAGTGTTTGGAAATCTGGAATGGAATTAGGTAATTAATACCGTTTACCTTCAATTCAGCCTTAAAAAAAATGGCTTTGAAATACTTCACAAGATCGCATTAACTTTCATCAACGGAGTCATATAAGCACCACAGTATGGCGCGGCTAAATTTTTGATCCATAACACAGGGGTGTAGCCAGGATTTTTCAGAAGGAGGGGGGGGGGCATACTGTGTCACACAGAGGGTACTCAACCCTGTGTTTTACTTAATGTGACAAAGAAAGGCTAACAAAGGGGAAGGGGGGGCACGGGCACGGGCACCCCAGGACCCCCCTTGCTACGCCCTTGTAACATCGCTGATTAAGACACGTGTTTTGCGAGTTGGAGACTAACTCCACTTCATTCGAGACAATTATTAAGCCATAGCAAACTATTCGTAGGGTGAAAGACCTATAAGAATACTAGAAATAGTTACCCTTCTTTCCTTCAGTTTTTCCATTTTACTCAGCGAGAATGCATTGCCTTGCTCACAATCTCTATAGAAATAAACAGAGAGAGAAAGAGGTAAACGGTCGATCATGATGATTTGAAGACGAAGAACGGGATGAGAACGTGGAAGATGAAAAAAAAAACCCGAAAAGGCGATGCTCTTACTCACGAGAATGCATGGCGTGTGCAAAGCTCTGGAAAAAGAACAACGCAGCGAAGCGACGCAGATTAAACACAAGAAAAAATTGTATACTTACATCTTAAAATCTGTCAAGTAATTCGAGGGGAAAACATATCATTGCTTTGATTATATTTCATGTAAGAAAGCCTCGGTAATATTGGCTGAAGTGAAACCATTAGTGAAACGCAATTTGTGCCTCGGTCAAGCGAGTGTATTATTTATTGGAAGGAGGACAAAATGTTTTCGAGAATACTATTGAATAAAACGGTCTATTTCAGACCAATGGAGATCTGGTTGTCGTACTTACCCGTCAAAATCTGTCACTTTCTGACCGCGGCAGCGAGTGACTGAAAAGCAATTGATTATTCAAGCTGTTATTTACTAATATTTAGCTGTTCATAACTAGTGATGTCATTGGAGAACATACATACTTCTTTTTTGATATGAGACACAACAGCAAAGCCTCAGAATTTAATTATTCGTCACAACAAAATACACTGACATAGATAATTTTTAACTACTCGTCATTACGACCAAAGTTTTTAAAAATTTGTAAGCAACTCTAATCTACGCAAAGATTTCAATGTTGGTTTTCAGTACTGTTTAATAGATAGAAACAAACCTTCGCGCTGTATGATTACTTTGGTTTCAGTCTCACGATAACTTTTCAAAATGTACTATCTAACAATTATTAACCGAATTGGAAGTAAGTATCCACTGCTTTCACCGACATTGTAGCAAATAATGGTTTTAGTATATGCCGCATAGAAACCAAAAAAAATTGTTTATCTATGTCAATATAACAAAAATGGTCGGAAATTAAATTATTAGCACGCGATTTTGTCCCTTCGGCTGCTCGGAATAGAATAGTACTTACTGGTCTCATCCGAACCAGCCAATCACTGCTATTCAAGAACACTTTCACCTGCCGTGTGGTATATGCTAAAATCGAAACCAAAAAGATCCACTTACTCTTTTTAGATGCTTTCCAGGACAGGAAAAAAATTATAGGCACTGCGAATGCCAGCAAGATAATCCACAGTGGAAGAAGGTAAGCAAACGTATCCTTTTCGCTTTTTCTCTCGGCGCTAGATCCTTTTAATTCTTAATGAGAAAGGTAGAAAAATGTGTTAGTAGACAGTAATTAAAGAAAAAAGGAATCTTCGTTAAAACATTTCAAATTCATTTCAAACAGAGATAAACACTAGATAATAATTACAGCAACTGTCGCCCTCTGTAAGGGAAATAGTCTGAGGAAAAGAGAGCATCCAGATCGGAATTATAATGTAAGATCCGTCTAAAAAGCAAACCATAGATGCTCAAATCGCTTGATAGGAAAAGAGAACTAGCACTCAAGTGACCGCTCAGTACACCGTTACAAAAACTGATAACACATTTATAGACATAAATCTATTTAGTTTTTTTTAAATTTCTGTATCGTAATAAACAACGGTTCCCGAAAAATTTCTAGACCTTATGGACATTAAAAGGGTGAAATGTATACCTTGTGTTATTACAGGTAACTCCGTCTGAGATACTACAGTGCTGCTTGACAATTCTATAAGATAGTTACAGATTATTGTGTCTTAGAACGGGCACGGATGGCTCTGATAACTGAATTAGGTCAGATCACTTTTCTTGATAATGAAAAAGAGAAAAGGGTCAAACTTTAAAGAAACTGAAGTTCCCTCTCTATTTCCAAATCAAATTTGTCATTCTCTTTACAGTCAACTATACAATTCTAATAATGATAGTTTAGATTTAATTCCCAAATTGATATTTTTCTTTATACTCATCACATATCTGGTTGATATTTTATTGATATTTTGAGGACAAATTCTGTCTTAGTCACTCATAGGAGTTAAAGGGTTTACTCAACATTTTTGTCGGAGACTGGGATGGGAAGGGTGGCTGGTTCGCGGATATATGATTATCGTTTCATCAACTGTCACTAAAAGAAAATTTTCTATCAATTAACGAGGTCTGCACTCTCGACTAATTGAACCGTAGT